GTAATAAATCTTCTATTTGTCTTTGTAGACTTGTTTTAAGTATACCAGTAAGGAATCTTTCACTGAATTGTTGTTTCTTTGATCTTGCACCTTAATTGTTTTAATTTAATAATTATGCAATATGTGAATGCTTTAAGGTTAGAACATTTCATTATGCAAAGCCCCCTTACAGAAAGAGCTTGCATAATTGACTTACTAATTTAAAATTCTATTTTTGAGCTTCTTTTAAAAAACAGTGTGCTAACTACTCAGGAAAAGGGACACTTATTTTCTCATGGTTATCACAGAGTCCTAGGACAATATACTACACCAGGGGGATTTCAATAACATCTGTAGTATGTGTGGTAAGAAAATTATTTTTACAAGAAATAATACAGGTAGATGCAGGGGTTTTCATCGTTACAAAAGTAAATTATGAAGCAATCAGTGTGTTTTATTTTGAGTTTCACCCACAGCATTGTTTTAAGAAAAAATGCAAAAAATTATTGTAAAACACCATTTTGAGGTTGGTAACCACCTTCACTCAGAGAATGACCTCAGAATAAGTTGAATTCCTATTAGCTTGAATGCAATTTATATAGTTAGAAAACACATATTTAGTCCGATATAGTTCCCCTAGTCATTAGAAAGAATTGCCTCAGTTTTTGGATTCCTCTCCTATCTAATTCCTCTTCTATTCTATTGAATATGCTGAATATAATTGTGGTTTCCTTTTGAAGCAAAAATTAAAAATGAGCTTCTTATTCTGTGAGCGTTACATATACTACTTCTAAACAAAGATATACCAAACTATCTATATAATTAAATCATCCAAAATGATTTATTGTGCTTTCAGCATTATTTTGAATTATATCATCACAAAAAGACTCATAATCTCTTCTCCAAAAATCCATTAATCATATCATAATTTGATTTGTGGCCAAAACTATTCATTTTCCAGAATTTTAAAGGACTAAATTAAATTCAAATTATAGTGTATAATTGAGAATAAACCATAATTATGTGCAATACCAAGGTGCTTTGCTGTCATCATAATTCACCTGAAAAAGTATACACTGCTTGTTAACACTACACAGGNCTTTGCTGTCATTATAATTCACCTGAAAAAGTATACACTGCTTGTTAACACTGCACAGAAAGGTTAACCCTCAAAAGCTTCATGAGGGACTAAATCCTGTTTAACAGGTAGATAAAAACAATACTCTTTTATCTGCTTCTTTATTGGCTTCCAATGATGAAAACAGAAGTTGCAGAAGTTCAAATAANTAAAAATAATACTCTTTTATCTGCTTCTTTATTGGCTTCCAATGATGAAAACTGAAGTTGCAGAAGTTCAAATAAAGTCAGGCCAAACAGAGGCAGAAAATGTGGCCTTTCATCGACCATAAGAGACTGTTATTTTTAAAGTCAGTATTCTGTGCTTAGGACAGCTAAATGAGTCAATGCAGATTTGTACCGCCAGGGAACACATGCGTTGTATTCTGCTGTCCCGGGCAAGACCCTAAAGCCACATCTGTATCAGAGAGACAGTCACAGTGTGGCATGTGACTGCGTCGGCGGTTAACCCCAGCCAGAGCAAAGCAACCACAGTGTCTGGGTCCTATTTTTGCCAACTCTCCAGTCTCAATGAAAATAAGCATGGGCGTTGTCCAACAAAGGCTGCATTGCATCTACTTAGAAATCAGAGGTAATGGTTTCGGGACAGGAGATTTTTCTCTTTGAGTACACTTGGATCTACAGTTTTCCCTCGGAAGCTGAGAGCAATGTCCCCACTGTTCACACAACGCCACCATTCACGGATGCTCGAAATCACACGGGCTGACAGAGATGCAGGAACAGGGTCCGAGGCACAATCCGTATTCCTAGGAAGCCTGGGCTGTTAGGCAGCATCACCTTGGCCCAGTAGCGAGTGGTCCATGAGTTTCAGACAGTGGGTAAACCTGAGAGTGTATTTGTCTTTTAGCTGATTCTCTAGTAATATTACTGAGGGGAAAGGAAGGTTTTAGAGCTAGACTTTATGGAGAGTCCATTAAATATTCTGGGTAAAAGACTGCAAGGCTGAATTTTAAGTCCACGTAGGTTTATCGATAGTTCAACAATGTTAGTAGAATTTGAGTGAAACCAGCAGATTAACTGACCTCTGAAGAGCACAGAAATCCACTCACAACTGCACACATCTTGTTGTTCTTGTCCCAGGGGCACAGCTGATAAGAATAAGAGATCTATGTTTCTTCTGTCCATTAATATTTTAATCACTGACATTTAAATATCACAGCATTATTCTTTTTCTCTGAAAGTATTTTGGGATGGCCTTAATTTCAACATGAAAGTGATATCTTAGGAGTGAAAAAAGGAGAGAATCAATAATGTCTACGTGGAGCCACTGGCTCTGATTTGTGCTGCTGTTTGGACCTGTGATGCTGAGACCTCAGTTATGAGGGAAGAAGGAAATATAAGTCTGCTCTTTAAGGTCAAGAGCAGACTTATATTCATAGGAAGAGAAAAAAATGCAATATACTGGATCTTCTAAATAAGCAAACAAAGAAACAAATAGTCCAACAAACAAAGGTGAAAAGTCATAGAATAAAGACGAGTCCATTCTGTTCCTCACAGCGGCTATGTTCTAGCTCAACAAAAACAATTTAAAGTAATTCAAGCCAAGTTTATTTAATAATTAGATACATGTGATTGTGGTAAAATTTTAAAAAGTATTTTTTCAGCCCAGCTGAGCATGGCTCAGCAGTTGAGCATCTACCTAGAATCTAGGAGATTGAGGTTCGAATGCCGGTCAGGGCACATGCCCGGGTTGCGGGTTCGATCCCCAGTAGGGAGTGTGCAGGAGGCAGCGGATCAATGACTCTCTCATCATTGATGTTTCTGTCTCTCTCTCTCCCTCTCCCTTTCTCTCTCTGAAGTCAATAAAAAGATATATTTAAAAATAATTTTTTTTCCAGACAGCATGAAAAACCAAACTAATGTCATCTATAATCTCCCCAGTTAATTTTGATTTTGCTTAAGATTTAACCAGAGGCCACATCATAGGCACATTTTAATCAACAGCATTTGTCATGAAAATAGGATTTGCAGCCATATTTCTACACGCTGCAATGGAGTAGCTCACAGTTAGTTCTCTGTCATAAATCACAATAAAACCTGGATCTTCTGTGGGGTTTTTTTGCAATTACAGCTTTGTCTTTTATAGTTAACAAGGTTAACATTTATCACTTAAAATATTTCTACTAATAAAGTTGGGAAAATGTAGCTCATATATTCTAGTGGTTTTTAAAAGTTTCCTTAGTGCAGAATCACTTAAGGAAAATCTCCAGAACTTCACTAGCCAAAATAAATGAACGCGGGGTTCTTACAATAGAAAGTGAGCAATAGGTGGTCTTCCCCATGCCCTCCAACTAGTGCTTTATTTTCCTCCTGTCTTATACTTTCAGAGCTGAATTAAGGGTTTATATATACATACAGCTTGAACACAATAGCGATGTCTATTTTCCTTGTTTCGCTCACATGGAAACAAAGACACAAAGGTATTTAGTGGCTTAACCAACTTGGCCATCTGCACAATGAGGGAGCCCAAACTGTTCCCACGTCTCTTGACTTCCAAATCACGGTCTTTCCCTATCAACCTACTGTCTTCCTCTCTCTAAGAATTGGGGAAACATAAAGCCTGAACATAAAAAATCATTTGTGGTTAATCTGGAATTTTCTTTCACCTAAAAATTGTTTACTCTGAAGTGTGATGTTTTCTTACACGGTTCACCAGTTAAAAGATGCGTGGATTCGGCTGAATATTTCCTAATTTTGGAGCCAGGGCTTGAATTACATTGTTTACAAATGCGTCCTTTTAAGAGTCCCAATGTGAACTATGAATGTTCTAAGTAGTGGAAAGAGAGTACAGTTTACTGAGAACTCAGATGCCACGTTAATATACAAACATTTGTTAGGGAAGAAAGGCATGGATAATCACAAGAAAACAGATTTTAAATGTCATGGATTTCAATATTGGGCAAGCTGGCTAACCACGGTGCGTAATTCAATGAAAACATTTCTTTCAGAATTCCCCGCAGTGTTACTTATGAAGAGCTACCACACTCCCCACCATGCCCCAGTACTATCACTTTTTAAATTTACATAATAAACACAAGGGAACAGAGAGGATTTGTTAAACCTGTTCTAAGCCCTAGAATTTTATGATCCCATGACAACAGGTACGTAATATCACAGCTGAATGTCGCAAGGCACAGGGGATCATTTGATTAATACTTATATTTCTGAAAACTAGCATTTGTGAGCTGTTTTCCCTAGAGATGATCAGAATTTTAAACAATGGGATTTATTAATACTTTGCAAAGTGAATATGTGACCTCTTTTTTATAGCTCATTTTTATGTGAGACTCTACTTCATTCATAAATTTTAAATAAGCATCGTTACTCTCACGGTATTAAACTTACTGTTCAACTACCCAACGAACTGTGTCCACTTGATTTGACCAGAAGGCCCCAAGAATCCCGTTCCTTCCCACTTCTTCTATCTACTACCCCAAATACGGGCAGGGAAAAGAACGTCTCGTACCTACTGCGAGGGGAATGCCTCTGTTTGGTTTTGCCCATACCTTCCTTAATTACATTTTGAATTGACTCACCTGGTAGCTTTTGATTTATTAGGGAAGCTCTATGCAAAAATATTCTGACAAAGAACTATACCACAAAAACTAGTGACAGAACAAAAGTAATTCTATTTTGAGAGCTTTCTTTGAGTCAGAAACGGTATTAATTGCTTTATACATTTTCTCTTAACCTTGAAAACAGTTTTGGAGAGATCACGATTATGGACAGAGGCGGGGTTCGAAGCGGGGGGTATAAGGCTCCACAGGCCACGGCCCTTACCGCTACCCTGCCTCCCTCCGACACTCGCGCCGCCCGGCTGCAGGGCCCAGGGCCACGCGGGCATCACCCAAGCCCGACCCCGAGGCCGTCCGGAAGGGCCTCACCTTGGACCAGTCGCCCATCCGCCACAGGTAGCACTTGGAGTAGTCCTCGCAGTCCTCGGCGTCGCGGGGCCGGGTGGACGGGACGCACTTCTTCCTGGGGTTGGTGCACCGCACGGTCCGCTGCCGCACGCCCTTGCCGCACTTGACCGAGCACTGCAAGACACGGGGCGTCACGGGGCGTCACGGCGCGTCACGGGGCGTCACGGCGCGTCACGGGGCGTCACG